TCTCTGATGGGGTCCAACACTTTGCGAAGATTCCAGTGCTGGAGTGGGAAGACATACAGTATGGAAGTTTTAATAGAATGCCAACAGGAATGGAACATGTGATTGCTCAATGGAACACCTGGCACCTGGCCTATGACTTGGTTGCCATTATCATCACTAAGGTATAGGCCCACTGTGGAGTATCAGGAAGCTCTTTACCTTGTTTATCATAAGTCCCTAGATCCCTTATCCCATCATACTGAGCTCCAGAAATGCTAAAAATAAAGTTTATTGGATATTTCAGTTTTATTCTTGGTTTTATTGAGTCTCTTTTCTGTTTTTTCTTTTTAATTTTTCCTTTTTACTTACAGTTACGGGCATTGTGTGTGTTCTGTTGCACAGTGCTTCCAGTCTCTGGAAAATCACACATAAATAGAATTGTATTACTGAATGGGGAAGGCCTCTCTCACTTTCACAGTTCAATCTGTTCTATTGTGCAATCTCATTTAAAGGCAGCAAAGGTCTGTTATTTTTTTCTGTTTACACTTATAAGAGTAGCCAAGAATGTTACACAAAATCTGTTTTTATCCTTTAAGCCTTTTAATTAATTTACATTAAATGCAGCTTTTAAGTGCTTTTGTATGGCAACATTAATTGCAGTTTGTATGATATTAAAAGCCAATTTGTCTCCACTTGAGCACATGAATTATACTATTTGGTTGTTACACTTTGCTAACGTTACATACAGTGTGAAAAGTTTTCTAGATTCCAGCTGAATTCTCCCTTTGCTGTTCTTGAATATGACAATAAGCAAAGAATCTTAGCAGAAACATGTTTCTGCTTAGATGATTTGAAATGATAGTTAATTTCAAATAGACATGATAAAAAGATTACAAAGATGTTTTCTCAGAGCTGTGCTGTCTTTCAGAAGTACTGTACATTCTTAACTACTCAGTGTAATTTAGTAAATGTGATTTTAATATGTATCTCATTCACATTCTCTGGATAGTAGAGTTTTCTGTTTTTTTTAAATATAGTAAGCAAATTTTACATCTGTGAATAAAATATGACAAAATGAAGTAGATAGTCTGAATTGAATTTAAACATGGATTTTAACATTCAGCTGAATGTTCAGTGAAACCAAAGTACAATATTATTTTGCTCTTCTCGTATTCATCTTTTGTAACAAAAATAAATATTTCTAAAATATTGAAACAATGAAACCATTTTACTGTATATTAGATAGTGTCAATGTGCAACACATATATATATTCCAGCAACTTATTTTTCTTATTCTTTTTAAACATCCTTTACATTTTTATTTCTTGATTTTGCCTTGCTTTTTATCCACATAAAATCATTAATCATCTAGTGCTGTTAAAACCTGTTCTAATATGTTTTATATGATTATCAGATTAAACAGCATTTCACTTCCAATACCAATCTTTTTTTGCTGTTTTATTAATGAACTTGATCCTTGTTTAATAATACATGCTATTACATGATTAATATTGAATAAGGGCATTTTATTAAATTAAAAGTTGAATAAGTCAAGAATGGATTCAACATGAAATTAATAAAATGATGGGATTTTTTCATGACTGCTTATTATTGAGTTTTGCCACAAACTGAAACCCTAGAAACAAACACGTAACACTAAATTATTAGCCTTCTCTACTGTCCTATTACAAGTGGTTGATTTTGTTAAGATCTTGTGTTAGACAATAACATATTGTGTGTTGTTTGACAGTGATCCTCACAAGAATGCTTTAATATTGTGTGGAGTACTAATTCAGTAGCATAGACAGCTTTTCAAAGTCAATTATCAGTGGGTTTGACTGTGCCACTTATTTTGAGCTCTTGTAGCTTTTGTGGTCTTTGTGGGTCAGAGATCATGGTTATGAGCTGTCAATAAAACTAAATTAGTCCACTAGCTAATAAGGTGTATCTTGTCTATGCAAGTAACCTACTTTTAAGCAATGGGATCATTTTTTATTTTGTAATGGAGAAGTTCAAGTTGCCTGTTAAACAAACATGAGTATAAAATGGAACTTGTAATCCTCAAAATGCTACTTTAATTACTGGATTGTAAGTGTGATTAAAGCTGTGCAGGTTAAAGGCTTGGCTGTTAGAACTGGCATTGCCCAGGCTTATAGCAAAACAAACAAATCTGACACATCATAAGAACAGCCTGTTTCACTGCAAAACAGTATGTGTGCTTGATTAGGAAGATAAAGAATGCCAACAAATCAACCAAAATATAACACAAAACAGCTAAGTAAATATTCTCCTGAATGAGATATAATTGAGGCTTCATTATAAAGTAATTGAAGGAGTAATGCCAGCACTCCATGGCAATTTAAATCATCTTTAAGTAATGTACTGTTCTGCACTGACCACTTTCGAGCTTTGACCTATAGTAGGTCAGTGTGAACTAGATTTTCCTTATGTGGGCCACATGTCTAACAGGATTATAAATGGGTCAATTCACTCGGTCACTATAATTGGATGATTTTGTTTTTTGGATTTATGATATTCACTCTGTATTTCTATACTTGTTGTCCTACTTCACCTGTTGGGATATAATTCTCACACTGCAGATGTACACAAACATACCATAGCCAGCACAATAAAAAATAATTAATACTTTCAGGTTATATGGATATTGAGAAAGTGAAATATTGTAGTAATCAAGCATCTTGGATGAATTGTAGAAAGTATCAAATGATAATAGTATTATAAAGCCATACATTGGCAGAGGGAAAATAACAAATAAATTGCCTGAAATCTCTTAGGATGAATGACTAATTCAGGGTAATACTTACATTCTTATTTCACCGATTATTTCCCACACTTGTATTTACAATAGAGGTCGGTGCAGTATACCATCCAGTATATAAGTTGTCCTAAACACAATCTTGCTGGTTAACCTTTTTAAACCCAATTGTCTGTGATATTAATGCCTTCTAAAAATGTGTTTGAAAATGTACAGTACTGTAGATGACCACAAAGAATGATTGAATGAGGTACGTCTGTTCCTTCATAGAAAAAGTTACTCAGCTCCATTTGCTTCAGTAAAATGCCTTGCTGTTCAAACAAGTACAAATTAAGTTGCTTTGGAGAAATGCATCAGTGAAATAAATTCCCAAAAACATAATCTCTGAGGTGCAGTTATCAAAAGCTATTAACTATATAAAAAGCAACTGTCACCTATGGTTAGTGAATCCCAGCAGGAAAGTTGATGGGATAGAGTACCACAATGTACAGTAGTTCCTACAGTGTACTGTAAGTCCATAAGCTTTAGCTTTGTTTGCAGTGCAAACAGATTTTTAAAAATGGGAAAATTCTCTGCCTCAATCACATTCAGATTGAATGGAGTTTCCTGTCTTGCGCAACTGTGAGAGATATGTTTCTCACTTTTTATGTTCCTGGGCTTCAAACAGTCGGAACTTTTTCTATCTCAATCACATTCAGATTGAACAGAGGTTCCCAAGTTTCACAACTGTGAGGGAGCTACAGTATGATACTCACATTTTGTTCCTGGGCTTCAAACACTGTGTTCTACCTGCCAGAATTGTGTAATTCATTATGTTCCTGCAGTGCCGTTTTTGGAGTATAGAACACCATTGTTAGATTGAAGCAAGAAGTTAAAAGATTAAGTTATGCAGTACATCATTCTAGAGAAAATCAGCTAGAGAAAAGTCCTATGAAAACTATATACCAGGATTGGTAGGGGGAATAGGTAACAAATACTGCAACATTTCGATTTGAAATGTTATGTACAACCCAGGAAACAGGAACTACGCTGAGAACTCAACAAAACAACTGAAATTCTATGCCTGTCTGCTGGTGTCTGCAAACTGTAGGCAGCATGACCTTCCATTTCACTTGCTGCAGTCTTGTTTGCTTTTCATCATTTTGCCCATGAATGAAATAAGGAACTCTTTCAGACCATGTGAAATAAGAATGAGCATTAGGATTCTGTGTTTCTGTACATCCCTCCTTCACATTCCTTTCGGCACCATGGTGACGGTTAAGAGTCTTCTGTGTATCTGCCATTGTACAGTAGGTGCACAGGGGAAAATCAAAAAACTTTCAAAAAGAGTTCATTTCAAAATCTTCTTCTTAGGTTTCTTCAGTGGGAACACTGAATTAGTCTGAAATGAGCTGTTGTTACTCATGCGGATTGTGTTTGAAAAAACGATATGGGTAAAAAACAAATTAAAAAATAACAAGAGTTCTACAGATCGTAACTCCATCAAAGGCTCAGTAGTTTTTACATCTACATGAAGAACCCTATATCATATATCCTATGCATTTGCCAGTCCATTTCTGACCTCCAATCTTTCCCTGACCTCAGGCATGCAGGTCCACAGCACTTACTGTAGGTCATCTCTTTCCTTTTGCTTAACATGTATGACTGCAGAGTAACAAACTGGCCTTTGAGCAGACTAAATGGGTGCTTGGTGAAAACCAACAAAAATAAACAAAAGGTCCTAGGATAGGAGGTGCAGGCTTTTAAATAGCAGAAGTTAGAGGATTTTAGTGAGTCATAAAAACAGTGGTGTAAAGAGAAAATATAATCCCAAATGCTGTTTAATTAATTGGTTATTTTGCCGTATTTTCCCATTTCTCTGTCTGAAGTCCACACTACTATGATTTCCGTTATTCAGTCAGTTTAAAATTAATTACATTAACTGAATTAAAGATTGCCACTCACAAACTGGAAAAACATCCATTAAACCTACAGGACATGAAAATGACAACAAAAGATCCCTTTCCGGGTTACAGGGGGGCCACACATTTGATCATTTGCAGTTAAACTTAAAGGTGTGTATATTAAAGGAGGTGGATGCAATGAAGTGCTCCTGTTATTGTGTTCAGCTAAACAATCTAAAGAATTTGAAAAAAAGTAACTGATGATTTCATAGTCCTTTCTCTTGCCCAATAACAAACAGACATTTAGTCAAATGCAGTGAAGTGGGTGGTTTTCACTATAAAAAGGTCACAAGAAGCAAAAGGCTACTTATTCAGACTCTCAGGTGCTTGAGCTGAGGAGTATTGTTGAATTTTAATAGAGTGCTCTTCAAATAAGAATGGGAAAGAACACATTGCCTGTGGTGGCTGACCGACCCGATAAGATGATAGACTTGTGTTTTAAAAACCCTGCTGTTAGTGAATCCGAAAAGGTAAGAATTAAAATTTATACTCTAGAACTGTGAAGTGCAACCTTTTGCTTTACTGGCTGTAGCATTTCATTGTTTTTTTTTTCATTGTTTTGACAGCTTTCGTTTTATTAAAGCCAAAATGTAGTTTAGGTTCATAATTTTGCATCAGATAAAGGACTTGTGTGTGTTTTTCTCTAACCTTGTTTCAGAAAACAACTGATTTGTGCCATGATCCTCACACTGCCAAGAATGATGAGAATGTGGAAAGAGGAAACTGGTCCAGTAAGACAGACTATCTACTCTCAATGGTTGGATATGCAGTTGGACTGGGAAACGTCTGGAGATTCCCATATTTGGCTTACAAAAATGGAGGAGGTACTCTAAAACATACTTTCTAATATTTCCTTTACTAGCACTCACTCACTGTCCTGACAAGTAAGCTTATTTTTTTCTTGTAATTGAACTAATCTGATCCTTTTAGGAAGTGCCTAGGCAGTTGTTTTATAGTACATGTCTCTCAGGTGTAGGTCAAGTATCAATGGATTAAGCTCAGATGCATCAATCAGAAATCAATATTTCCTGATGTGCAGTGCTAGTATACTGAGGTTGCACATCCAAATAAGACATGACATGTTGGTAAAAATGTTCAGCTGTTTCAGTAGGCCAAGCTGCTGTCATCAGTGCATTAGGATGAGAATAGCTAATCAAATTATTCAAACAAAGGAGATAGCTTTTTCTTTTGTATTTGTGTCAGAAATAACTTTTTTTTCTGCATAAAAGTTTAATGGGAAGTCTTACGATGGATGGAAAGGAATTACTTCTCAATGTACAGTTCATACTGTACTACATACAGCACTTTACAAAGCAAAACTAAAAGGAAAGCTCTGTGTGGTTCTAAACAGGATACAATATACGATATAGTAGATATATGTTGTCTTATTGTATCTAAGCACTACACTTCAACACTTTGCATACAGAGCAAAAGGTGTTATTGTTAGAAGAGGTCAACTACATAAAATAATTTATATGTATTTGCTGTCTTTCTATAATTAATACTATAATTAGTAAAAATATACAGTGGGCTAAAACTTTGGCCATTCTTTTTTTATTTAAACTCTTTTCACTTGTTTACTTTTTTGCATTATGGAAGTGATTTCTGACAGATTCCAAACTCAGAATGCTTGTCTTGTTACTGTAGGAATGTTTTTATCTTGTGTTTTGTATCAGTATCTAGCATAATGCACAGGAATTGTATGAAGCTGGAAGTGATTCTTTGGAGACAGCTAATCTGTCCTTGCTGAAGGCCAGACAAAAAAAATCCTCTAGCAACAGTCTCACTTCTGTATTATTCATTACCTTATATTATTCTGTATTCTGCATTAATCATTAAAAATGAGCTCTGGAGTCTGACATGTGGCAGCAGACTGTAACACCTATTCTGTTAGTCAGTTATGTTTTTTCTTAATTTGTTGTCATTGTTTTCCAACAAGAAAAAAGTTACTGGCTAGACCCAAGTCTGTACACATACTGTATGTACTTTTAGAATCACACCAAGATGAAGTGAATTGTCATACTGTCGTTGATTATGTGAACTAAAGGACTATACCACTAGAATTAGTCAGTCTGACAATCAGTAATACCTTTTTCTTGTTTGTTGAGAAAATGTGGTGTATTTTTATTTGAAAAAAAAAAGTCCTCCATCTAAATCACAAAATTATGCAATACCTCCTGATGTGTAACATTGTGATTTTTTATTTATGAGTGATAAGCGGTTTAGCCTGATACATGAGGTAATAATAGTGGTCAAAGCAGCTGTGGTCACTGAGCTCAGCTGCAGTGTAAGACCTCTTCCTTTGAAACATACTTCATAATGCTTATTTTCGATGAGAGGCTAAACCAAATTTCAGAGTCCTTACTAATTAAAGATTCTATGGCACTGTTTGTAAGAGTAGGGATGCTAATCCCATTGAAATGATTTAATTTCATGTTGGACAATCCGGCCTCCCTAAAGTTTTCCTAGACCTCATTCTCTCATCTCTACTGCTGATATGTGGTGTAATGGTGCATATTGGTGCTCTACATCACCCAAATGCAAGTCACTTGGTTCCTTCCCACTGTAAATATGATACAAATATGCTCATAGATCCTCTGGGTTAAAAAGTTCTATGTATATAAACAAAAGGATAAAATAATAATAATAATAATAATAATAATAATAATAATAATAATAATAATAATAATAATAATAATAGCTGTTGTTGTTAATCAATCAATCCCTGTGGGACATTTACAGGATTAGTTAGCGATCTTATTCCTGATATCACATTATCTAAATCTTCAACATTTCAAAACACTAAGTGGACATGAGGACTTCCTTGTCTGCTTTCTGAACTCATTTTATTGCAGTTGCACACCTGCTAAAAAGGCTTTGTAGCAATGCTTCTAAAAGGTTCCTGTGCTAAGAAATTATACAGTATGTTTAATGATTGTAATTATAGGGGTTAATGTCTATAGAGCAATCTGCAATTGGACCAGGACATGAGTTGCTAATGTGTTACATACATTCTGGTTTTGCCGATACCAACAACTTGTTGTTGAAATGACGTTCATTCTTATCTCGAAGTATCTTGTTTTTAATTGTATTTGCTTAAGGATACCTACTACTGTACAGCCATTTAAGTCCATCAAGTCTAAAAATAGAATAGAGCTAAGCAGTCATGTGTAAGGCAATCACATCTACAAAACTGGCGTGCACAACAATTTGTTGATCAATAATGGTTGCCATAATTGTGAGGCCACTGTGCTCAGTGGAGAATTTGTGAACTAGAGAATTAATTTAGTTATTAGTAACTTTAAATAAAGTCCAAACTCAGCAAAACACAAAGATTCAAAGTTTTGTATAATAATAAAACTGAATTACAACGTTCTAAACTACAAAGACACTGAACCACCTCCTGATTTGAACCTGATGTCTCTTATCACTTTTCTCATGTTGTTATCTCATACTAAAGATGCTTATGTGGATGTTTTTCCTCTACAGGAGCTTTTCTTATTCCCTACACCATCATGTTGGCCTTGGCAGGTTTGCCTCTCTTTTTCCTGGAATGCTCCTTTGGACAATTTACAAGCCAGGGCCCTGTGTCAGTGTGGAAGGCTGTACCAATCCTACAAGGTCAGGAATTTACCATCTTACAGAGTTATTTCATTTTTTATTTGCTCCACAGAATAATGTGCAAAAATCTCTGATCATTAGCTACTGTACTAGCAATCAATTGGACTAGATAGACCCAACAGCCAATAAAAGAAACTGATATACAGATATAAGAAACTCTAGTTGAAGTCATTGCTCCTCAAGATAATGCCTCCAGTTATTGAATAGTTCTTATTCAAAAGAGGCTATTTACTGTTGAAACATTTTGTTAATGAAATAATTCAAATATATATTATATATCTGTGCTAAGCATTTAATCAGGTTATCTTCATCTTTATTTAGACATTCATGAAAATCTAGTTATAGGAGAATATGGTCTAAAAGATCCACTATACCATATGGACCATTCTAGGGGATTCACAAAGCTTTTCTCAGAACTATAATCTTTTGAACTGATTGAAGTTGTAAGTGACATGTTTCTGTAACTGCTCAGAATGTAAGGATATCTTTATCACATTTTGTGTGCATCACAGCTAGATTATCTATCTATCCCAATTTGTAATATGACCAAGCTTGGTTTGGGTTAATTAACATTTTACCAAAGCTGAAATATTTTCTGTGGTCTTTGCAAGTGTGTTTACTTGAAATGCACTTCAATTCAGGAATGCACTTCTATCTCGTTTTCTACCAAGGAGCACTTTCTTACAGGCATTATGGACACTATCACATCAAAGCAAATATAGACACAAAAATACTGAATTGACATTTTCTTTAACTAAACAATCATAATCTACCTGATGCCAAAAATTAAATAGCTATTAATTTACAAAATTGTAAAGCCAAAGAAGTTAAGTGCCACTTCAAAGATCACAAAAAAGAATGCTTGTGTGCTTCAGGCATTACTTATGACTTTGCAAATCTTTTAAATGTAATTTAAACCAGCATATAGTACAGTTGAACAATATATGTATCATTGTCCTACGTTTGTTAGCATTTGGATTTACTAGAGTACATGAAGTATACTGCCCAAAATAATTTGGTGGGTCTCTATAAGTAGAAATTAAAAACTGAATAGCATTTAAAGTATATCACACACGTGGCACAGTTATCTATCTTTGCTCTATTGCCGCACTGGGGCCCTGTGTTCATCTATCTCCTGAGTTTTTATGTTCTCCTAGTGTTTATGACTGTTTGCTCCAGGTCCTCCAGTTTTCCCCCACTGTCTAAAAACATTAATAGGTAGGTTAGTAGCTTTATTGGGTTGTGGGAGAATTGTCCTGGTGTGAATGTAACAGGCTGCAACAGACTGGTGTTCTGGTGTACCCTGTCTAGGGCCTGTTGCTACTCGAAATAGTTTCCAGATTACTTGTAACCCTGTATTAGATGATGTGATTATAAAATGGATAGATAACACATGTTTTTTAAAAATTGCACCAAATGTGTTAGCAGTATCATCTTCAAATTAGGTTTTGATGTGAAGGATGGAACTTTGTGTTTATTTTTACTACCTTTATTACATAATACCGCACTGGCATGTACTAGTGTCCTGGCATAATATAAAACTGATGATGTTGCTGATGGAATAGTAGTGAACTTCCCCATTGTGGGTAACATTCCTGAAATATATACTACATCAGTTGACAGACTTCTTATTTCTCTTAATAGGTAAACAATCCAGCAAGAAGTAAAAGTGACATAAAAATGTCATGAGTCAGTTAAAAGAGTATAAAGTTTTCCTTCTCATTTTGTAATTCAAATTTTTCCTCATTCATCACACAAAAAAGTGGATAAATGTAACTGTTTGGGATAACCAGAATAAAAAAAAAGAATCATAACCCAACTTCAAAAATTATTTCGAGTTACAGGAACTGTAAAAGAACAATTAATCTTTGTCCAATGCAAACTTTTTCAGGCTAAAACTTCATTATAAAAATAAATAATAAATAAATAATATAGAAATAGCTGAATGATTGCAATTAATGTGGCTTGATGAAACCTCAATGCATGTGTGAATGAGTAACTGAGTAACTGAGTGTTATTCAGTGATTTCAGTGGTCTATTGAGAATCTATCACTTTTTAAATGAAATTTCAACTATCCTGTGAAAACATCTTATATATTGGCTAGATGCTTTAAAATATTTTTTCAATAAAAAATTGTATTATGTTTCTTTCTCACTTCTTACTAGCAATTTGAATCAAAAAAGCAATTACAAACTTTGTTTGTTTGTGACAGGTGTGGGAATCACAATGGTCATCGTATCCACTTTTGTGGCTATCTATTACAACTGCATCATTGCCTACAGCATCTATTACCTGTTTGCATCTTTCCAGTCCCCTTTGCCATGGAGTGACTGCTATGACTGGTCTGACAAGAATTGCAGCAAGTTTCCCAATGGTATGACTCTCTAAAATCATTCACAAATATTACATGGTATCGTGTCTCATAACCTACAAACTCCTCAAGAGGTGGTACATAATTAACAGAAGGATATCAAGTGGAAGGATATAATGAGGTGTCCCTCTTGGGTTTCTGCATTAAATGCCCTGTGACTTCCTACACTCCTGTAAGCTTGAGGTGTTGTTACTGAGACATCCACTACTAACCTCCTGTGAGACAGTGTGGAGAATTGGTTCTGAGGCTAGGTGGGACTGACTACCCACATTCCCTTTGTGAACTGCAGTGAACTGATAAGTACACATGGCAATTACTTGGTAAAAAATAAACTGTTCAAAAACAGAGATGAGCAGAGCATTTTGCATGACATTTGCTCTGATCTGCGTTATCACTGAGTCACTGATTACTTTAAGCATTATTAGTTTGGTATCAGTATGAATGTCAGGTCATTGCCAAAGGTCATACTGCACCAGTGAAATTGACCTGGTTTCACCAATCTGTGAAATCAAGATATTAGTTTAATAGCAGAAACCTTATGTGGTTTTTCCAAAATATTTGGATAAATAATTAAAGCTAACAAATGTGTGTCAAAGAAAAGAAACACTTTATAGGAAACGGGTAGGATAAATCATAGCTTGTTATCAAAGTGTCTGAATGAAAAGTAAAGGGAAAGGGAAATACTTCTGTAGAATGTCTCAGTATGGGTTTTCTTCCCATTAAAATAAAAGCATTACAAATTAGCTAAAAGGTTTTGTCAAGAGGAAAATGCTTGTTTACTCAATAAGACATTCACAGGTTCTACACCACAACTATCACAAAATGACCTAAAGGTACATAAGAATCATGTCCAAATCTGTTGAGTGGGCTTGATGAGCCAGTTATTGATGAGCTCTCCTTGGACTGTTACATTTGCGAAACTGGGACAAAATCAGAAAGGGTGTTGAAACTCCATCTTTTTAACTCCATTAAGACAACACTTAATCTCATTTGGAGCACATCATATAGAGGAAACTGAAATGGGTACTTGCTTGCACTTTCTGGCTCTAGTCCCTCTCTATTTCCAAAATGCTAAAGCACAGAATTTAATATGATTTTCAAAATATATGCTTGCGTGAATTATTAAAATATAGAAATCGACAAAATGTGTTTTCATTTGTTCCATTTGGCAACCAAGACAATGATTATTGAAGGGTGACAATGGATTTACTGTGTAAATTCCCTTTCTGAGTCATAGAAGATCACTGGGCCAGAGCTTGTCCTGATTTCATTAAGTGGACTAGAGAACATGCAACACCCCCCCCCAAATGGGAAACTAGTCCATCACAGGAGCCCCCGAGCAACGCTGGGCCCCACTTGGTAGACTGGAGTGGTTTTATAAGAATAGGGTTTACAATGGAAACTGCAATAAACATTAACTCAAGGTCATTTCCTTTCCTGAATAATGTATTAGCTCCTGGAAAGCTGAATGTTCAAATCTGGCAGATAATTAACCACAAGGTGCAGAATGGCTGCCGTGCATCACTGAAAAGGGTCCTCACCTAAGTATAAAGTGCATAGTGATGCTTTCTGATAAAAAGAGCTATACAGTAATAGTAAGCACAAGGAATTATAATTATTAGTTGTAGTAGTAGTAGTCATAGGTCTACTACTGTTATATTCATTGCAATTTAAGAAAAGATGAATTGATGTACACTTTCTTGTTTTTTTGCTCTGCAATGTTGCTCTGTATCTAAGGTTATGCAGGACCTATTTCTACATATTTTGTACTTTAACAAAAAAAACAAACAGCTCAATCATTCCTACATCTAGCGATTATCAAAAATGTGCTTGTTGCAGGTAAGGCATAGTAATATAAAAATCAAATGGATTTTTGCACTTATTCCAGCAAAAATCTCAATACTTTTAGTAATAATACATAAATAAAATGTTCAGAAAGCTTATTTTTAATGGTCAAATTCAATGCAATCGTGGATGGCACAGTGGCACAGTGGTTAACATTGCTGCTTGGGGTTCAGTTCTAGACCTGGGGTGCTATCTGCTTAGAGTTTGTATTTTCTGTGGGTTTTCTCTGGGTGCCCTGGTTTCCTCCTGCGGTCCAAAAACATACTGGTAGGTTAATTGGCTTCTGAGAAATTGTTCCTGGTGTGAGTGAGTACATGTCTGTGTTTGTGTCTGCCTGTCAATGGACTGGTGTCTCACCCAGGATGTACCCTGCCTTGCACCTATTAATTACCAGGATAATCTCTGGCTCTCCTGTGACCCTGAATTGATAGAAGCATTTAGAAAATTGATTGATGTATAGAGTGCAATCACCAGGAAAAAAACACACAATTTACAAATGCTGATCAAAAAAGAACAGAAATTTGAAATTCATCATATTGATGACTACAATAACCTTCAACAATCTATACATTTTTCAGATTTGTGCAACGTAACATCAGAAGTTGGAAGATTTATTGTTGTTAATACAACATGGTTAAGTAACAAGAATGAAACCTGTCCAAAACAGAACGTCATTCCAGTGCCAGTCCAAAACCCCAGTGAACAGTATTGGGAGTAAGTGGATATATTTTTGGAAAATGTGTCTCTTATATTGCTTTTAAGTTGACATGTGGTTATTTAACTTCAATTCTATAAAAACCATACTCGTATTAGGTTCTTGTATAACACAAAATAAACCTCTTTATAGGATGACACATTTGACAGATTTTTAAATCTAAACCTGTCTGGGGTTATTTTAACATTAATGATACATTATATGTCTATGATGAAGACAATGTTCTTGCTTTTAAGAATGTTAATGCAAAGAACAGTACATAAAACAACAAACTTTGAACTGTTTGTGTGTGTGTTGGGCTACATCCAACATGTACTGTCATTGTAATATACAAGAATTGAGACCTTATATTAGTTTGGTCAACATCTAAATAATGTAATAAGATATATGATATTAAACACTTTTAAAATTTCTCCAAAAAATAGTTTTGAAAATCTTGAGAATTCACATATCAACAAATTATAGGATTAAAATATATTAGAAACAAACCTGAGCAGTTTCCTGACTTAAATAAGACATTATCTTACTGGATTTGTACAGAACATGTATTAATGTACAGATTAATGTACCCCAAAATACATTTCTGAATGCATTTTCTTATCGAGTGATGTTATTACTTGTTAAATTCTACTCACTTGAGGTTAAATCCAAAAATAGTGCAATCTGTTACAATCACTCTGAAATCCTGGCCCTTAGAGCACTGAGCCCTATATAATATAAGGTACCCAATACAGAAGGGTACAGTAATACTTATTTTTAAAAATATGTAATTTACAGAAAGGTAAGAGATTTTTCTTTTCCCATATGTAGCCAAAGCTTATAAACATCTATCAAATCAAATCAAATAATAGAAAAATAAAAACTACAGAAATCCCCTTACAGTACAAGCTAAAAATAGCCTTTTGCCAGCTGCAGATTCACGTACAGTATGTTGAATATTTCATCCATCTTAGATTATACTAAGATATATGCACACAAGGATATACAGAGTTAAAATTAAACAAAAATGCCTTTAAGCTTCAGTACCAGAGCTCACACTGTTTCAAAAAGGGAATCTTACTTTCATTTCTGAATGGTAATAAATATTTTGGGTATTTTTTCTCCAGCAAAGTAGCTCTACGCCGGTCAAGTGGATTAGATGAAACAGGAGAAGTTGTCTGGCATTTGGCCCTCTGCCTCCTCTTGTCCTGGATAATAGTGGGAGCTGCCTTGTATAAAGGCATTAAGTCTTCAGGGAAAGTAAGTACAGTACATTTCTGCCTCTTTAAAAAAAGCAAAGGTTTTCCTTCTGTTCCTCAATCAATGCACGCCAGGTGCAGGCAATCAGATTCCTTTGTTTTGATGTGGTATAACTTATTATACCAAATAAAGCTCATTACATATTGCTAACAAAAAATGAAAACATACCTTTCCAACATCAAAGTGTATCACTTGTTTGGCAGTGCAACATATAGAGGAGATACAGCCAAATTCAACTGTTTCTTTAAGACTTCTTAATGCTTTCATAGAAAAGATCCAATCTGAGCTCAAGATGACTGGAGCTTGTATGTGTTCTTCAGTGCAACATTTAAAAATTTGTCTACAACAGAAATGTATAATCTATTTTCTAATTCTTTCTCAAACTCCTCACAGCTTTTTCTTAAACTGAACAGTCCTTGAAGCATACTGTACCTCCTCTGCATGCACTTTTTAAACCTTTATTTGAATTTGAAACCAATGTGATAGACAACCTGAACATCACAACTGTCAACAATCTACAGAAACACTCAATCACTGGGTATGGTATTTGATACAGGGATCAAGTACCATACTATAAATGCTAAAGCTGAGGTGTTAAATTTTCAAATAGTTGCTCATTTGTCTTCCTATCCAGAGGCCCAAAAAGTAATGGAAACTCAGCATGACCCATATTACAATGTTGATTAACTGGGGCTCCTTCACTCCTGTTTTGTAAAGAATTTGCTACTCTGGCTGAAGTGACAGCAGGCAGATTCAATCAAACTGTATCCTGGGTCAACTTTGTTCTTTTAACATCTAATTTAGTTATGGAAAGCTGAATTGATCACATAATAAGATATGTGGTCTCTTCTTAACTATTGACTCTGCACATTTAATATTAAAAAAATAAAAAGATACAGTCCTGTATACTTTCTAGGAGGTATCATAATTAAATCCATTGATGGATCTGTTCTTTGTATTGGTACAGGGTATTTCTTGACTGTATGAGTGTCATATAGACTGCATGTGTTTTTGATTAAATTCCAGCTGCACAGTGCCTACAGAGAAATTTCAGTTTAATCTGAAAATGATCCAAATCTAATGTTTCTTTCAATTACAGGGGTTTCAGTAAAGACAGAAATGCAAATGAGGGCAAACAACATTGCAAGGACATCTGTGCAACTGTTTTTATAAAATGGAAATTTCGTTAACTGCAGTAGTGGTAACACAGGTCTGAGTGATTAATGATCACCTAGAAACTAAATATTAAATGTAGTCTGTTCAGTATTAAGTTCATAATTTGTATATCTCTTGCTGCTGTTTTACATTTTCTCTTTCTGGTGTGCAAATTGTTATATATGCACATCTGTCACTGCCCATAGCACAGATCTTTCGATGTTTGGGGAGCCTGATCTCTAGCAAAGAAAAACAACTTAGAAAAACAACACAATGTACTGCATTCACAATGAGACTATAATGAATCTGTTTTTTTTTTCTTTTCCCTTTACTCTGTGGCTGGATAGAAGCCAATTAGCAAAACTATAAATTAAAGGGACAACTCACAATACAAGTTTCCCAGTATTCTTACCATTTGAAAAGGAAGAAGGAGAATTATGTACCCACTGTAAGTCAGTGCTGGAGATCAATGCTGGGGTCTTTGTAGTGTGCTCTGAATCTGCTGAGACAGACATTCAAAACTGCAAAAACTGCACCAGCATGAGGAGTCTTGCAAAACTTTAAAGCTATGCTTAAATACTTTGTGAAGTCTGGACTTTTTTCATTTTGCTTATTTAAGGTGAGGCTCAGTGGCACAGTAGTTAGGACTGTTGTTTCTCAGTGCTTGGGCCCTGGTTTAAAATCTAGACCTGGGTGGCTATCTGTGTGGAGTTCATATGTTCACCCCATGTTTGCATGGGTTTCCTCTGGGTGCTCTGTTTTCCTCCCACAATCCGAAAATATACTGGCTTCTGGTAAAATTGGCCCCGGTGTGAGTGTGTACGCCCTGAGATGGACTGGAGTGTACACCGCCTTATGCCCGTTGCTTGTTGGGATAGGCTCTGGCTCCCCTGTGATCCTGTACTGGATGAAGCAGTTAGAAAATGAATGGATGGATGCACTCATCCATCCATCCATCTGATGGTTAAGACCATCCGAATCTTACTTGAATGTGTCTAATGAGAGTTCCCTTCACAGGTGGTGTATTTCACTGCCACCTTCCCTTACGTGGTGCTCCTGATTCTCCTGGTGCGAGGGGCCACTCTGGAAGGAGCTGGAGAAGGGATTGAATATTACATCGGCACTCAGTCAAATTTTTCTAAACTGGCTGAAGCTGAGGTGAGTGTACTTTTAAACATTAACCCTCACTCAATTGTCTCTATTTTCCAGGAGTTTAACTGAATAAGTAATCTTTAGAATCTGGTTTTATTCCTAAAATTGAACTATATGTTTACATTGTTTATTCCAAATTGAGTTGCTAGTCTTCCTACGTATCTCTTTGACACTGTCACACCTCAATATGTTACCTCCATCTTCTACTTTAATGTTTCATCCCATTTCATCATTATTTACCAGTATTGACCAATATTTAACTTGGGAACATAAAGGTATAGCAAGCTCCACAATCTTATTACATATAGCCATTTGTCCATTCAGTACCTATACTTTATAAGGAACGTATAACCAACACTCAATCAAGCAAAATCCATTCATTGTTGGCAATTATTGTACATGAATCCCAATAACATTTGTATTTGTACACTATGCATATGCCAATTTATTAAATAAGCCAGGAAATTACTGCAACTTGTTTGGCTAATACACATGAGCTAGAATTGTCTACTGTGCACTTTAAATGAGTCCAGCTGCAACAAAGCATTATTTACTAACTTTGATAGTAAACATCTGTATAATATGTTTTAAAGGCACTAAAACAAAGAGTGTCTTTAGCTCCAGTTGTGCATCACTATAAAACTTAATAACACTGTACAAACCAGAGGAAGGTATTTTGCTCATCTGTCCAGTTTAATAGTAGCTTATAAATCAAATAATATCATATGGCCATTTCTTGAAGGAAGCCAAGTGTTTGCTTCAGCAACATGGCTGGTTAGCTTGTTCTTTACTCGCCCAACCTTATGGTGTTCTTATTTATGGATCTAAAGGCACTTCCACATAGTTTCAATTGGCGGACTCTGGTTCATGTCTTAACAGCTCATTTTGAAAAACGTCCACTGCACTGCCTTTATCAAGCCCTTTGAGAATGTTTAATACTTGCAACAAATTCCTTTGTAACACTTCAGAATGGAAACAGATTAGACCAAGTGGATTCCCGCATGTGTAGTGTCTTATGAGTCATTCTGATAAATATTTCTTCTTTTCTTACTGGAAATGCTCTTAAGTACTTGATCCATTTCGAGGATTGTTTTTCTTTCTTTTTTACAGGTTTGGAAAGATGCCGCAACTCAGATTTTCTACTCTCTGTCTACTGCTTGGGGGGGGCTGATGGCCCTGTCTTCATACAACAAGTTTCACAACAACTGCTATTCTGATTCAATAATTGTCTGTGTAACCAACTGCGGCACAAGTGTGTTTGCTGGCTTTGCAGTCTTCTCTGTCCTCGGACACATTGCTCATGTGTCTAAAAAGCCTGTATCAGAAGTTGCGCAGTCTGGTAGGTCCAATTTACAATATTATCTAGTTCATACTAAACAATGAGCTTGTGGATGAAGAGACCATTCCAAATCTTAAAAGCTGTAAAATATGTTTGATCAGTGAAACATATCAATGGTAGATGTCATCAATAGTTTAAAAATGTAGAAATGAAACAATAGAAGCAGGTTAAAGCATTTTTATATCTGCACAGCTTGCCTGCCAATGTTTCAGTAATAGAAATGTTCATTAAATATAAGTTTGTTAATAAATAAAAACAAGTTTAGCTTCTTAATTTTTCAAAATTCTAGCTCATCTCTTCTGAATGGTTGAATTAACTGAACACTCAGCTTATCAAGTGATAGTTAAGATCAGAGTTGTCCAAGACTGGTCATGGAGGATATTTGCAGATTTCCCTTAAAATTCAGCCCCTAACTTAACTAAATGGCTGAACTGGACTTACTAAACAGTTTCTTTTAGCTCAGATGCTGGTCTTTAATGAGACATTGAAAACCTACAGACACCAGGCCTCCAGAACCTTGATTAGACACCCCTGGTTAAGATGTTCAAGTGAGCAAGATTACATGTTGACTGTCAACAATATTTGTCTATATCTTTGTATTTACATGTGACATGCATTATGTAGGGTCTAATCAGACAAATCTATGTGTATGTGTATGTGTATGTCAAAAACAAACTTACAATATTTTATTTGTAATCAGATTGAATTTTATAATCAAGTTTTAAGAATAAGAATGTGATTTTAAACAAATGCAAACATTTAATGGAGTCACAAATTCATTAATACATTTTGAGTTCATATCATATCATATCATATATCTGTCTCTTTCCAGGCTTTGGTTTAGCCTTCATTGCCTACCCAGAGGCCCTTTCTAAACTGCCAGTGTCTCCTCTGTGGTCTGTGCTATTTTTCGTCATGCTGTTGACACTGGGCCTAGACTCCCAGTTCGCCATCATGGGTGAGCTTCACAAAGTGCTTTTCTTCTCTACCAGCAGCACCAATAGTGTAGTGGTCAAAAATGACCTAGGAAATGGAAGCTGCTGTTTATTCCGAAAGAGAGATCATTTGAACCAGATGTGAAAATTGATTTTTCCCCTCAAATTCTAAATTCTGTGTTTGTCACTCCTGTGAAAAACTGCAATAGATCCTGTAATGCTTTTTATTATATATATATATTATAATAAGATTATAATAATTATCACTACTTTAAATAAACTACTGTAAGAAAAACAAGTGAAATGTTTTCTTTCATTGAATGAAAGACAGAATAATTTTTAGGAATCTGTGAATTGAAGAATTTCTGAAGTATTGTAATTGTGTACAAGCTTATATTTTATATGTTTTGCTAAAACCATTTGTTAAATGTATTGTAAGTTGTTGAGATGCCTTTTTATTGGTGGCCATTTCTCGTAATTTGGTCTAGCAGAGAATTATTGTTCATTACCTAATTAACTATTCTTTTCACAGAAACTATCACCACAACTCTTCAAGATGAATTTAAGTTCTTGAAGTCCAAAAGAATTTATGTCACTTTTATTGCCTGTATTCTGTTATTCCTGCTTGGTCTTCCCTGTGTTACAAGAGTAAGTGCTTTCAGTTAAGGAATACTCTTTTCTCCTGTAAATATTATATGTTTATTCCTAAACTTGTACTTTTCTGTTCCAGGCTGGCATATACTGGGTGAATTTAATTGACCACTTCTGTGCTGGATGGATAATCCTTATTGCAGCTGTGCTAGAACTCATTGGAATTGGTTATATCTATGGTAAGTATTCGGAATGAGTTTTTTACTGTTAAGTGCTACTATTAAGTGCAGTTGGTGCCATTGGCTTTCACTGAGTTTTCAATGCCAAGACAGTCTGTGCACGTGGATTTAAGTGGTGTTCTTCTCCCTGGAGCAGAAATTTTAAATGAATAAACATGGAAAAAGGTGACATTTGTTAATGAGCCATTCAGTGAGAAATTAAACATTACATGGGATCATTACAGATCCCATTCCACCATTCATAAGATTAGGAGTGCTAACCCTATTGCCCTTGCTAAATTCCACTCTGGACTTAAGGATCTCACTAAGTTCAATTAGTGAAGAAATTTCTCTTTGGCTTTGCTGGTACAGAATAACGACATGTCAGCCAGATGGGTCCTTTCGGATTCAGGGGTGGAAGAAATGGGTTAGCTCATGCTGTATACAGTACTGTATGTGATACTGTGGGATGAAAAGGGCTACAGTGTGTACATTTCTAGGAATGAGTTATCTAGGTGATTTGCAAAACAACTGTTATTAAGGAAAAATGCATATACATTCCATACAAATTGGAGATAAACATTTCAGTAGAGAAGACAGATTAGTTTATTTTCTATTTTTACAACTAAAAAAAAGAAAAGTCACTCTAAACATCTAGCAAAGGTGTGTCTAAAGGTGTAGATAGATCACCCTATAGGTCAATGTCACATGAACTACTTGTATGCTTTTTTCATGGAAGAGCAAACTAGTAACTGTGTTGTAAAAAATTAAAGTGCGACCTCTGCTAGGTGAGACTTTGAAACCTGGCTATAAGAGCTAAAGCTCTGAAGGTTGCTTTAGCTCAGCACTTAAATGACACAACATGCTTTATTTCTTTTTTTTCTTTGGTCTTTCCAGGAGGCAACCGATTCATTAAAGACATTGAAATGATGATTGGGGAAAAAAACTGGTACTTTTGGCTATGGTGGAGAGCTTGCTGGTACATCATTTCCCCCTTAGTGCTCATTGTGAGTAAAACCCTCTGTTTCTCTTAGCAGAATGTTAATAATACACCTCTAACAGAATTCCACAAAGTGCTCTTTATCCTTCATATAAAAGAATTACCCTTTAACCCTTCTGTATTCACAGATTATTGCTCATAATTAGGCTTTGCATACTATAGTAAGCTCATACAGTAAGCTTTGAGAGAGAACTCATAGTTTTCTTCTTTCGTCCTTTTTGTCTGCACAACAGCCATTATACTGTAAACCAGAAATTGCAATGATTCAAAAGCCATCTTTTGTTAAAAAATGAAACATGACTATAAGACTAACACTGACCTACTATAGTCATACAGTAGCTGATTATATGAAACTTAAATCATACCTTGCTGTTGCTTGATTTTCAGTTTACTTGACCTCAACATTCTTTGTGCAATGTCACCATTTCATTTATGTTTCATTTTCAACTTTGTTTCGTTTTCTATAATCAGGCAATATTGATCTGGTCCCTGATAACCTTCACCTCCCCATCTTATGGGTCCGTGGTTTATCCAGACTGGGGAACATCAATAGGATGGTGTATGACTGCCTTTTGCCTCAGTTGGATTCCCATTATTGCCCTTGTTAAAACTGTTAAAGCTAAAGGCAGCCTTTGGCAGGTGAGTGATTATTCATTGCTACCCACATTCAGAACACTTTGTTTGTCTAAAAATCTAAGATTTTTCAGCATTTATTCAGAAATTAAATTTATTTCATTGTAAACATATACAGCAATTCATTTCTGGTTGATAACAAAGGAAAAGTAGCTCAAACAACTTGAGGTGCGTGAGGTGGGAAAAAACTCCTAAACAGCAGGTGATCCCTGTTGATAGTGAAGGGTTTTATCACAGTTCTGAAAGGGGGATTTCTCAAAAAACAATTAAGTTCACCTTCAGATTCCCAGCCTCCTCAACACCAAAAGCAGACAGAAGAATTGAAAATGGTCAATAAACACCCCAAAGAACTTTAATATGTTGACTTTCACAGCGATAACGGATAAATAAATAATAATACATTTAGTCAAGTCAAATATTCTGTATGTCCATTGGTTCACCAATTCAGGGTCTCAAAGGAGCCTGGGCAGGCATAAGGCAGTATACACTCTGGACAGGATGCCAGTCCCTCACAGAGCACTTACTGACACACACACTCACACCAGGGACAAAAAAGCCAATTAACCAGTATGTCTGGTAGGGCTGGTAGAGAGAACAGGAGCAGCCAGAGGAAATCGTTAGTTTTTATGTGACATTAGATACATTTTATTTTATCTGAGGGATACATAAAGACAATTTCTTCCACCCTAAGCACTTTAAACAGATAAACATTTTATTCAAAAGAGGAAAGAGAGGAAAGCAGCAATGCATGTCTTTTTAAGTAGCTGACATTGTTTTTATGTGAAGTGGGTTAACCTGTAATGCAGATTTTTAATCCTGTAAATACCCTTGAAGTGAGGAAGAATAGAAGTACATCTTTGAAATATAAAATATAACCAATCACTTGTTTCTGGTTCCACATGCACAGTTTATTACAGCACAGTTTTTTTAATGTCCATACTGTCCAATTATGCTTTATTCTCTTTACTGAAAACACATTGCTTTGCTTCTTTGTTCTCTCTCAGCGCATCAGAACTGTGTGTTCCCCAACAGCAGACTGGGGTCCTTACCTAGAATGCCACAGAGGAGACCGATACATACACCAGCAGTGTGCCTGGGATCAGAATCTGAAGAAACTCAGAGAAACTAAAGTATCCGTCATCATTAATGACTACAATACACAGCTGTGAGCACTATCCAGGAAACCCATTATAGGAGCATCAGCAAACATATGTACTGTACCTACATTTTTAAAATCAATATCAAGGCATGGTCTTTTTTATGGTGCATCTTGACAAGGCAGAAACCTGTTTTCTCAAGATAGATATTTAATTTATCTGCCCCACTTCGTGCCATTTTCTTAATCTTCTGTACTTTATGATTTTGTTCATTTGCTTTGTGTCATCCACTGGATTTATGGAAGTCTGTTCATTGGAGTTCATTGGAGTGGGAAAAGAACTACTGTTATATATTTGGGGGTTCTGTGCTTATTTTACACATGTCCACATGTCGAAAAAAGGTTGAAGAGTGTTTGCTTGTTTGAACTCCACTCTCTTAACCCCTAGGGATTTGAGTGCTTGAATGTTTACAGGTTGACCACATGATGGTAAATGACTGTATTCCAGACTCCTACTTAACGGGGGTTATCTATGTGTGATGAGGAAAATAATGTCTGTGTTAATACTCTCCCATAGAGTATTAAAAACACACACTGTTTTCTCCAGAAATGGAAAATACTGTATGCTTTCTCCAAAAGTGTTGCGGCCATTCAAAATATGTTTAGCAAACCTGTAACTAGATGTCAATGCTCCTCTTCTCTAGGATTATTTTTTCTATTTTTTTTCTACAAACTTTGATTACTTGATATTATATAAAATGAAAAGTGCTTATTACAGAGGACATACAGTAGTATCATCACATCTGATTGTATTTCTGTCTTAATGATAGCTTAATCAGTAATTATATATGAAATGATAGAAGTCATTTCTGGAGAATATACTGTAAAGTTTTAATAATCAAATAATACTGTGCCATCTTCTTTGCTAGATGTTAAAAATAAATGTTCACTCTTTAGTGCATTCATATTTTCCTTATCACACTCCACGTAAATACTGTTTGTACAGTTTTGTTTAATTATGAAAAAAGTTGTGCTCAAACCTATTTTATATGTACATATCTGTTTTATTTTTAAAAAAATGATAATAAAAATGAAATCCAAAGATCGATTCGATTTTTGATAGCATTAAGCTGTTTTCAGAAAAGAGTGGGTGTATTTAAGTAAGCAGAGATACCTACAGTAGTTAAAACAAATGAAATATTTGTCTGCCAGTGACTTCTAAACTTATACAAACATGTTATATAGAAGTGTGGTATACAGTACATCTATATATATTAACATATATAACATAAACATAAAATATATATATATATTGTAAGAGGACCCGGGGAAGGGTCATTTATAACCGGTATTTCCAGAACAAAACACTGAAAATACGCGATATAGACCTTGGCAAGATGGCCACCCAGGATAACCAGCTGACCCGCTATTGGAAAAAGCCTATGCAGCGAAACAAGGAGACCCAGCTGAACTACATCAGGAAACAGGATATAAATTTCCCAGAAACGGTGAGCCGGCGCGGAAGCCAATAAGGTGAAAGCGTTTTGGAGGAAGGAGAGGTTTAGTATTGTGCTGGATAGAAATAAAGAATAACGGACTACGGGATACGGTTTATGACTAAAATTTACGGATTACGACTTGGATACGGTGCGGATTGGTGTGAACATACGGACTTGGAAATTTGGATCATTTAAGGATACTGGCAACGGATTACGGAACGGATTTGGGAAACGTACGGACAAAGAACAAAGAAGATCAGTGTGGTGTGAGTTATATCTCTTTTACACCTGTTTTACCCCCAGCGACACCGCAACTGGTGGAGGATGTGGGCACCCCCTGCTCGGGTTTGAGAATCGAAGAAAGCAAGTTTTGTTTTTTTTGGTGTGTGTGGGTTTCGCTTTGCGTGTGTGGAGAAAAATAATGGAACTGGAGATCCGGGGAACAGAGGGAATACCTATTACTTGCATTCACTGGGACACCAAGGTCTATCCGACAGTAGAAATTAGTGTCTCTACGGAACAGGGGACATACCATTCAACTGTCAGAGTGGTTGAGCAGTTGCCTTACCCTGTGGTACTGGGACAAGACTGTCCCCACTTCCTCTAAATTTGGAACACTATCCAAACAGCTAGGCGAAGACCAATTCCCTGCTCTGAAGGCTGGGGTGATGCCCCTAACAACGACCCTGATGAGACGGACCCACAAGAAGGAGGAACTTAACTTGGAGTTGGTAAATATGGATTTACCGGACTTGGAGCCACCAGAACGTTGTGGTAAGTTTGGGTCGGCCCAATTAGAAGATGGAAATTTGAGACATGCATGGGGACATGTCAGGAAAATTGATGGGAAGTGGTGTACTGATCCTAGTACCTAGTATATTTCATGCTAAAAAATAATCTCCTCTATCAGGTGCAGCAGAAGGGACAGGAAGAAGTGGAACAATTCCTTATTCCCCGGGCCTACCAGATGAAGCTCCTCAACTTGGCCCATAGCCACCTCCTGGGAGAACACCTGGGGGTAAAGAAGATATCCGAGAGACTACTCTCTAGATTCTTTTGGCCAGGGATCTATAAGGTCATCGAGAAGTATTGTCGGGAATGTGTCAGAAAAGTGCTCCACAACCTTATTATAGAAACCTTTTGATTCCCCTCCCAATTATTGAAACCCCCTTTGACCGGATTGGGATGGATTTGGTGGGGCCCCTGATCAGAACCACCAAAGGTCACCAGTATATTTTTGTGATAGTGGACTATGTTACAAGGTACCCCGAAGCCATTCTGTTGATAGCTGCCACCACCAAAAACATAGCTAGGGAGCTGGTACAACTGTTCGCTTGAGTCGGAATACCTAAAGAGATCTTAACTGATCAAGGATCTCCTTTCATGTCTAAAGTCATGTGAGACTTATGTAAGCTACTGGGTATACATCAGATCCAAACCTCGGTCTATCACCCTCAAACCGACGGTCTAGAAGAACTTTTTAATAAGACCCTGAAAGGCATGCTGAGGAAGGCTATGCAAAAGGATGGGAAAAATTGGAATCAGCTGCTCCCGTATCTCATGTTCGCGGTTCGAGAAGTACCACAGGCCTCGACCGGATTTTCCCCCATTTGAATTATTATACTCACGGAAACCACTGGGCCTATTAGACGTGGTCAAAGAATCATGGGAGCATCAACCTTCCCCTTTACAGACCATCATTGAGCATGTGGAACAGATGAGAGAAAGAATAAACGTTATTGTTCCCATAGTGAAAGAAAACCTGGAGAAAGCCCAGGCTCAACAACAACAAATTTATAATAGGGTAGCGATTGCAAGGGAATTTCAGACTGGGGACAAAGTACTGGTCTTAGTTCCAACGCCAGAGTGTAAATTCTTGACATCCTGGCAGGGGCCTTATGAAGTGGTGGAAAAGGTGGGTCCGGTCAATTATAAGGTCAAGCAACATGACAGAAGACGGCAGCATCAAATCTACCACGTCAATTTGTTGAAGAAATGGCATGGTACCGAAGTTCTGCTCACCCACTTCTTCCCTGACCCTCTGGAAGAAGAAACGGGTGCTATAGCCATGGGAGACCTGGCTCCGGCTCAGAAACAGGAACTACTAGAATTCCTAACCCAAAACAAAGATGTTTTTCCCGGACACCTGGTTGAACCCATCTTATATAACATAAGATTATCACGGAACCAGGGAAGAAGGTAAGACTACCTCCGTATCGAGTACCGGAAGCCAAAAGGAAATTGATTAAAGAAGAGGTGGGAAAAATGCTAGAAAGGGGAATAATCGAGGAATCCCATAATGAGTGGGCTAGCCAGATAGTTCTGATCCCCAAGCTGGATGGAACTATTCGATTTTGCAACAATTTCAAAAGGTTAAATGAGATCTCATTGTTTGATGCATACCCCATGCCCCGTATAGATGAACTAATCGAGCGATTAGGTAACGCCCGATACATATACAGCACCCTTGAGATCTTACGAAGGGATATTGGTATATCAGTATAGGATCCTACCCTTCGGTTTGCATGGCGCTCCCGCAACATTTAAAAGATTAATGGACCGAATACTGAGACCATATCGTGATTTTGAAGCTACCTACTTGGA